AAGCTCAACCTCAGTTGCCCTTTCTGTTATCTAAATGTGTTCTGTTGTACATAGGGTTTTCAGAGGCCTATTTCAGAAGTGGATAGAATGAACCTATTATAACTTAATTATATCTGGCAATGACGTCATTTCCAAAAAGTTAACATTTTGAGGTTGTAGATGGCCATATACTGGCGTGGGGGTGGGGCTGTTATTCAACCCACTACAGGGATCCACAGAGGAAACTCTGGAGGGGGCAGCCAAGATCTTTCAGAAGCCTGTGTGCCTGGTGGTCAGCTTTGTATCATGGGAAGAACTCTGATCAAGGATCTAAGAAATTGGAATTCTCCTACCAGAAATGAAACCTTTAACAGATCTCTTTACTCCTTTGGATTTCCCTATCTGTTTAGTAATAAGTAATGGTATCTGCCTACCTTGCCTCACACGATTATTACACAGATCAAAATGATAAAATGAAAGCTCTTTGCAGAACATAAAGTTCTATAAGGTTAAGGTTAGATGTATGGATCACCTTCGGGAATCCAATTCTAGCAGCCTAGTTGGTTATGTGTTGGTCTACTGACTAGAAGGTTAATTGATTTAAATCCCCTAGCTGCTCCTTGGGAGAAAGATGTACAATCTCCTCTTGTAAAGATATTTTTGACCTCAGAAACCTGATGTAGAGTCACCATGAGTTCGAGTCAACTTGACGGCAGTGGTTTGGGTTGTTTTCTGAGGAGCCCTGGTTGTTCCCTGGTTAAGTGCTTAACTGCTATCCAAAACGTTGACAGTTCAAATGCACAATCACTTCGTGGAAGAAAGATATGGAAGTCTGCTTCTGTAAAGACACAGCTTAGAAAGTCTATGGGGTCAATAGGTTTAATTTAAAAAAAATTTTTTTTGGTATGAATCATCTGCAAGTTTCACAAGAGAGTAACATTGCCATGCTCATGATTATTCTTTGGTCTGATAATCTCCTTTCTCTTTGCTAGGATCACTGCTTTTACCATGGGACAGTGAGGAAGGCGGAAGGGTCCAGCGTCACACTTAGCACCTGCCGGGGAATTAGGTAAGAGACTCTGGGTGTTTGTGGGGGTGTCTAGCACTTGGCCCAGGAAATAAAATGCTAGGGACAAGCTGGAATGGTCTTGGGCTGTGAAGGTAAACATTGATATTGGGTGCAAGTCAGCTCTGAGAATGACTTAACATGAGAGGAACCAGGGAATTTTGAGCAATACGCAATCATGTTAGCATTGAACTTTCAGTTTTTTCTAAGTAACAGGATAACTGAGCAAGTTTTTCATGTTCAAAAGGAAATGAGGAAAGGGAGAAGGGGAAGAAAAAAGAAGGAGGAGGGAAATTACTAGGATAGCAGAGGTTAGTGGGCAGATGAGGAGGGATGAAGGAAAAGGAAAGATTCAATGGGGACTTGAAAAGATGGGGTGATGCTAGGCACAGAACAGTAGTAATTAATTCAATAAAATACAATGAATGTGAATGATTGTACAAAACACAATGTACATGAACAAAACACAATGCAAATGGAGATTATATAAAACACAATCTAAATGTATAAAACACAATGCACATAAATGATTCAAACCAAAATAAATATGAGGGGGGAAAGACATTGCTTTAAGGTATAACTTGATCCTGTGGCTATTATTCTGCTTCCTCTAACATGACTGCTGAAACTGACCTGCGGGTTCACACGTGTTCTAGGGTGGGATCTGTGCGGATTGAGAGGTGGAGAGGGACAGGGACACCAGAGAGGAGGCAAGTCAAAGTTCTCTGATCAAGCTTCAAAGTTTATTCAAAGAATTCTGCAATAAATAGGCAGCTGAGGAGGCCGGGCTGCCAGGGAACCCAGCCCTAGGCTATCCGTTTACAATAGAGAGGGAGGGTCATGCCCCAAGGTGTTGATTTACAGGGAAAGAGGTAGGTGCTATCAGAGATGGATGGGGTAGGGCTGCATGTCAGAAGTGTTATCTGTAGCAAAGCTAAGATCTACTCAGGATGGCTTCCTACAGACTGCCCCTAATCTTGCTTCATTATCATCCTTGTTGCAGTTGTTTGCTGTCAACGTGGAACTCAGTCATAGCTGACCCTCCAGCAGGATTTCAGAGGCTGTGAGGAGAGGCAATTGCCCATCTTTCTTTTGAAGAGCAGCTGGTGGATTTGAACTATGTTCCTTTAGGTTGACAATGAAACTCCTTATCACTGGGCTACCATAGCTACATTACCATTTACAAAATATAATTATATTAGATCACAAAATGGAGGATAATTACATAATACTGAAAATCTTTCTAGCCAAGTTGACACATTTTTGTGTAACAAAATGTACATCATTACAGATCCCTAACACAGGAAACAGGACCAAATCAAATGTGAGAAAAGACTATGAAACATGAACATAAAGAAGTTAAAATAAGAGGAAGAGAGACTGAAGTAAGATAGATGAACAAAAGATTCCAAAGAACAATTCTAGGAGCTATCTCCTCCTCCATTATTAAGAGAAACCAAGACACCAAAAAATGGTCTGGCTCAATTCTGGTTTATAACAACCATATGCATGTCAGGGTAGCACTATGCTTTGTGGATTTTCAGTGACTGGTTTTTCAGAAGTAGATCACCAGGTCTTTTTTCCAAGATACTTCAGGAAAGATTAAAACCTTCAACCCTTCAATTAGTAGTCAAATGCATAACCATTTGGCAACCTACATTTATTTCCAGTATACTGAAAAGAATGGCTTTCTAAAAGAAACAAACAAAAAGCTTGATCCGTGTCATCTGCTGAGACAGTGGTAGAATTATTGCAAGTTTAAACTATCACTGTGGCATTATTGATGGCAAAATTGGGAAGTTAGGTGCATGATTGGCTCTTCTGGTTGGAGTGACTCCACTGTATACCTCTCTTCTCTTTATCAAGCTTATCAAAGGAGTAACTCATTTAATAATTGTTCCATTCAGTCAACAAACTAATATTGGTTACCAACTTTAGGGTCCACTAGTGGCCTACCTCGTTCCAAAGGCAAGTGTTTGAATCCATCATCTGCTCCATGAGAGAGGAAAGGGCAATCGCCTCTGAAAACTTATTGGAAGGTCAACTCTGTATGAGTTAATTCTTACTCGATTACAGTGAAGTTTTTGAGTGGTTTGTTTTTTTTTTTCTCTCCTTCCTGTATATCTGGATTTTGCTCTAATTGAAGAAAAGGTGAAAAGAAAAGTCATTGAGCCCTCAGTTTTCTCATCTGTAAAATAGGCATCGACTACATGCATTGTAGAGATTATCATTTAAATACTGTGTTTACACTCCGGCTGGCAAATTAAGGGATTACTGTCAATTTACAACAGTGAAACCCCACTGAGACTTACTCAGGTATACAAATAAAGTGAGTGCATACTGCAGATCCCATGTATCTGTTTATAAACTGGGCTACATCTCCTCTGTAAGGCTGTGTGGTGAGGTGGCCACAGGGAATTAAGCAGGAAATAAGCTTTGGCTTGGAAGTAAGACAGTGTGGCCCCGAATCTGCTACTCAAGTGACCTTTCTTGAGCCAAGCCAACTACTCTTGTGGTGGAGTCTGCAGGTTCTGCGAACACCACCTGCAGTGTGCAACCCCTTCCAAAGAAAGAGGAATGGGGACAAGCAGATGTGACCTGCTTTTCTCTGCCTCTTTGTCTAGCCCCTTGGTCAGGGCAGTGGGGACTTGGCTTGGCCTCATGTAAATCACTCCAGCAGCTGGGCTGACCAGGGAACCAGGGGGCCAGTCATCCATGTGTTTCTGTTTAGCATGCTTCACTGTGGTGGAGTCTCCCTGCTCACTTTCTCAGCCTTCTCACTGCACACCTTAAGAAACCCAGGGTGTCTGTGCGCTGGATTGATTTAAGAACTGGAGACTCATGCCAGATGGCTCTGTTCCTACCCTGGAGAAGGAGCAGCTGCAGCAGGAGCCGTATTCAAGCCCACATGCACTGAGTTGCCTCCCAGCCTCATAAATCGATGCTGCAATGGAAAGTCTCCATAGCAATCACCCTTCCATCCTTGAAACGTGTTCACTGTGATTGGAGAAAATTGGTATAATTTATGCCAAGTGGGACCTTCAGGCTAATGATACCAATGCAGAGGAATTCAGGCGAGTTTCTAAATGACTGCTAGGCTCCCTCTTCTCTCCACGGCTGTCATTTGGGCTAATTTAATTGAAGACATACTACATACTCATAGTAAACATAAATTCAGATGGTAGGAGAGAATGCACAATGATAATACATTTCTTTCTTACCTCTGCTTTGAAGATTACCCTGGCCCCTGAGATAGCCACTGTTAACCAGTTTTTTTGTGTATCTTTCTTCATTTTCTGGGGGGAAAAAAGAACATGGACATACCACCTGTTATTGTTGTGTACCATCAAGTCTCCTGTGACTCATAGTGACCCTATGTACAACAGCCCTAAACTCTGCTTTATCCTGCACCAATCTTATTGTCTCTAACACACCTACCCCCATTACCCAAGTCACTGAATCAATTCATCTAATCAAGGATCTTACTCTTTTGTGCTGTTCCTCCACCCTCCCATGCATGACGTCCCTCTCCAAGGACTGGTCCTGCTTTGTAACATGTCCAAAGTATATCAGATGAAGCTTCAGAATCCTTGCCTCCAAGGAGCAGCCTGGTTTAACCCTCTCCAGGATGAACCTGTTTGTTCTCTTAGCAGTCTGTGGTATATTCAATACTCTTTTCCAACACCACAGCTCAAAGGCATCAATTCTCCTTCTATCATCCCTAGTCATTGTCTAGCTTTCTGATGCATAGCCAGTGATTGCAAAGTCCATGTCCTGTATCAGGCACACCTTAGTCTCCAGACTGACATCATTGCTCTTCAGTAACTTGGAGAGGTCCCTGACAGCAGACTTTCCTAATGCAATATATCTTTTAATTTCCTGCCTGCTAGTGTCAAGAGTGTTGACTGTGGAGCATAGCACATAGTGGGTTTTAATCTTAATCAGATTTTAGACTCCTTTTAGAACTGGGTGAAAGCTATGGTTACTTATAAACTACGCACTAAAAAAGAGTCTTGGTGACATAGTACAGGACACACTGGGCTGCTAACCAAAAGATGAGGTCTGAATGCACCAGCTGCTCTGAGAGAAGAGCCTGGGTCATTTCTCCTATTGTGATTGATGGCTGTTATGAGCAGGACCACTTGATGGCAATGAGTGAGTTTCTGAGCATCTTGGTAGAACATGTGGCGTACTATCACATTCAGCTTCAAGCTTGCCACACCTTAGTGAACCATCCTCTAAATGTTCACAAAACTGCTTAAATTTACAAATATTTTGCAAACTAAAATGGGGTAACCATGAGTCAGAATTGATTCAATAGCAACTAATAACAACACACTGATCTTCCTTTTTCTCTGTGTTTGGATTCCCTCTGTCTGTAAAACAGAGGTAGATTCAAACTTCAGAATGACCGTTCAGTGTAGGTAGTTCTGGGCTACAGAGTATGGACAGGTCCGTGGGAAGGACTGACAGGCCACCCCTGTGGACCTGTTTCCCCAGGAGTGGCATGACCTTTGTTCTCCTTTGAACACCTTCTTTTCTTTCTGCACAACAAATAATAAATACTACTTTGGTGTCAGACAAGGAGCTCTTGGGGTGAAGTGTGCTTTGCGTTGTACTACTGACTAAAAGGTCAGTAGTTCAAATCTACAAGTTGCTCTGCAGGAGAAAGATGGGCATTCTCCTCCCATAAAGATCTGTGTTATTGTTGTGGTGTGCCTTCTAGAGACAACTGACTCATGACTGACCCTGCAGTAGGTTTTCAGTGGCAGAAAAATCACACTGGAGGAGATTACCCATCCTTCTCCTATGGAACAGTTGGCAGATTGGATCACATGCTTGGGGAATTATAGCATGGCTGCTGACCGCTGGCCACCAGAGCCCCGGATGAAGAGTCACCATGAGGTAGAACTGACTCGCCAGCTGTGAGCTTGGTTTTTGGCTTGTCTATGTCAGCCACTAAGCTGATTAAGCCTTCAAAAGAATATTCTGAGAAGGCATCA